GCTTGACTCTCCGTTTAACAAGGGATTGACTCAGTTGTACTTAATTAATTTTGCCAGATACATTTTACCTTTCCTACGGCTTTCTTGATACAACAGTGCCCTCTAAACATCCCGAATTGCCAGCAAAAAGTATAAAGCCAACACTCGACAGACAAAACCACGCTGCGTTAACTCTCGTGTGCACCAATGTTCCCGAATCCAAATCTGGTACAATAAAAGCCAAGTTGCAAGACGATCGCAGCCAGTGGAGTTCCATCTGCGAGGCGATTGGTATTCGGGTTGAGCCAGCAATGCTGCAAAGCGTAGCGCGTCACCCGACCTCAGTGCACTCTGGTGAACCTCGAATTCTTCGAGTAACACTAGACTCAGCAGATGAGACAGAGACTGTCCTGCTCTCAGCAGTTCGTCTTCGCAACTCACCGAGCGGAGTGCGCATATTACCTGATCTACCTTGGAAAGGTCGCCCAAAAGAAGCAGTTGAGCAACGCGGCATTCCTAATACGGATAGCAAGAAAACAATATTTGTGGATGTTTGTGAGTAGTGTAAAGTTCGTAGCAAGTGGAAGTCACGATTAAAATTCACACACAATAATGTGCCTCGACAGGGAATCGAACCCCGGTCCAACGAATTTCCGGTTCGCTGTTCATGGTGTTCCTGAGCATCTGCGTTCTCATCACGATGCGCAAACACATGACCGAGAGCAGTGGTGCTATATCCGCGAATCATTCTCTGTTGACAATGTTATTGCAAAATCCATGACAAGAGTTCCGTCATCACCTAACTACAAGGGCTGCGGTCCAAGGCTAATGAAAGTAATGCTGCACTCCGAGGGAATGACGCAAGTTCTGTTGGATAGCTGGTTAAAGTTTCGAGCTAGGTTGCCAACAGAGATCCGGCTAAAGGCAGCAGGCGAATGGCCAAAAGTCGGAAGCAATTCGATGGAACTTGCAAACGCTACAAATTCCTTATTTACACAGTCCTATGGAGAGACCGACACCACAGTGCCCACGGCACACAACAGGACAGAGCATAGCACGAGTGTAACGTCTGCTTAGGAACGCTCAACATTACCATGCAACAAGACTGAAATACATAAACCACAAAACGATTAATGGCCGGCCAACAAACGGCCGGCTTAAAAACTAACCCAAAGTTGACATCTGTCAACACACTCCTGACAACAAAAGCCCCATCTTGCATGTACACATACGCCCAAGACCTTCTGGGCAAGTTGGCCGAACGTAGAGAACTCCATGCCTCACAACCGCGGGACCTCGTTATGATTACGGAGACATGGTTAAACCCTGAGATAACCGATTCTGAGATCGACTTACCCGGTATGTCACTGTTTCGGACCGATAGAACCGAAAGGGGTGGCGGTGTGGTTCTTTACTATACTGCAAACCTCCGATGTGAAGTTATCGATCACTTGGAAATCCGAGCTCCTGATTCACTTTGGTGCCGCCTATGGTTGCGAAACAAAGACACATGTCTACTAGCCGTGATTTATCGCCCACCAAACTCAACATCCGAAATGGACTCCAAACTGAACCGCGTTTTTCAGTTTGCTTTGAACAAGTCCTACACCCACATTCTTATCGCGGGAGACGTTAACGTGCACGGCATAGGAACGTCGGCAACCGACGGTACGCAGTTTAAAGCCTGCTTGCAATAGCTAATTGCTAGCCACCCTCTGTACAACCACGTAACCTCTCCCACCAGATTTCGAACTGCTAACAAGTCGTCGATACTGGATCTTGTGCTAGCTAACCAAGAACTCATGATTGACGGGATAGTTACAAGTACACCACTGTGTCGTAGGGATCATGTTACTCTACTCTTTGACTATATATGCTATGCGGAGTACCCTGAAAAGGAGGATGATAAAGTGCATATTTTCACGCACTGGTCTCATTCATTCAGTGTATACGCAGTGAAAGTGCAAATGCTGATAATGCGCCTATTTAGGTGTATAAAGCCTATTTCGACTTGACTAGAAAGGCTGTGCACACTAATTGACTTGAGAATGAATCGACGTCAGTGGCGTTTGTGTTGTGAGCCCCTTTGTCCCTCCCCTTCCCTTTGGCTTCCCCCTCCAACAGCGATCAAAAATGTGATATTTGCATTTTGTTTCTTGTTTATAGCTTTTACATCTACACTGCTTAATGTCTTACTTTTTGTATTGCGGCACATTAGCTGAGGTTTGTTTCTCGCCCTCGGCTAACGTGTATTGATGATGATGGTGGTGGTGGTGGTGATGATGATGATGATGCTACTGCTGCTGTTGCTGCTGCTGCTTCTGATAATGATGATAAGGATAGGTTTGCAGTCGGGGAGTCGAACGGAATCAGCAATGACCATGCAAGGGGTCGTCGATTTCATACCTTTTCGCCAGGTAGACGGTTGACCTCCACGCGGCCTTTTTCAAAGTAACCCTTCATTCGCAATCGGGGGGAGGTCTGGTTAAACGTTCGTTAGGCTTGCGCAGGACGTGACCAAACCATCTCAATTGACGCAGCCGGATGACAAAGGGGAATATCCGTTTCGCTCAAAACACGATGTCTAACGTCATCATTGCGCTCTCGGTGTTGTCAACAGACGCGGGTTATCCCCAGCGAAGGGTTACTGTTAAGGGCTAAAGATTACGCAACGGATCGGTTAGGAGTAACATTCGTACAGTAATACCGCGAATACACAGGCTTTATAAACCATATCCTTTAGCGAGAGTGAAATGTCACGACGTCGCTACAGCTGTCTTAAGTTGGCAAACGCTAACCGGGCTTTAGCGATACGAAGGGAAGGCTCCGATAATGCCCTCGACAGAAACGTAGCTTCCTAGGTGGACAAAACCATCTACGTTTTCGAGCTGTGTGCCTTCCATGATGAATTGTGGACGGGGTGTCTGCCAGTTCTGTAAAAAGAACTTTGCACTTGGAGTGGGCAAAGCACATACCAATCGATCAATGATCGATTGCATCCCATGAGGGTTGTCATCGAGGGAGGCGATGTCAGCAGCGTAGTCTAAGTCGGTCGCGCGATTACCTGGGAGAAGCTCGATGCCGAAATTCTGCAGGCCCTCTAAAGCTCCCAAAAAGACATTTTCAATCGCAAAGCTGAAGAGAAACGGTGACTTTGGGCATCTTTGTCCCACGCCACTGGTGACAGGGAAGATTGGGGAAAGCGTGTCATAGGCTCTCACTCGGCCTGCAATATGGAGGTATAGCGCACGAAGTATAGCGACGTACTTTCCCGGAACTCCATTCTTCAGCAGGCCCTTCCATAAGCTAGGTCTGTCTACTGAGTCGAACGCAGCCCGGATATCCGGGAAAGTGACCATGGTGGGTCTGCGATGCTCCAGGAGTTGGCGAAGAGTGAAATTTTGATCCACACATTCTTGACTGGGTCGAAAACCTGCCTACTCCTCCAGGTAGTATGACTCACGAGTGGGGGAGCATAACGAGTGCTGGTAGCTTGGCACAGGAAGTATGTGATCCTTTCTTGAAGATTGGAACATTGATTGACTCTCCTAAGGAAGAGGGGACCTTTTCTTCCTACCAGATCTTCAGAAATAGGGAAGTTTGCTTCTTGACGACTGCTTTACCAGCATATTTGAACGACTGGGGGAAGTTCATTTAAGCCGCCTGCCTTGAAGCGCCTCAGCTGATGAATCTGAGGACAAACCTCCGCTTCGGTTGGTGGATCAGATGACACTAACCATTGCATGCGACTAGGTTTACCGAGTTTGAAAGTGGATTGAGAGGAACAGTTGAAATCAGACTGGAAGCGCTCAGTCCATCTGTCCATAAGTCTATGCAAACTAGTGATCTGTGACCCGTCTACCTCACAGCTGACATCCTTGATACCAGACTTGTGTCCAGTGGTCAGAATAAGCTGAAACAGCCTTCGGTTGTTTTCACTGAGGGCGGCGGCCTCCATCTCCAAGACGTGTTGGGACCACCCAACTTCCCGATCGCTACGAAGGCTTCGTTTGAGTTGTTTGCTGATAATACATTGAACTTTATTCTGGTATGGGTTTACTGAGCGAGTTCGGCAGCGGTCGAACAGTGCCAGGGAGCACGCCGATATCCAATCCCTCAACGGGTGATGAGATAACCCACAGGCTGTTTGGTAACAGCCGACCGACACGTGCATTGAAGTCTCCAGCGAGGACAATGATGTCCAACGTAGCGGTTTTGTGTAATAGCTGATGAAGTCGGCAGTAAAATAATGTCTTTGTTCAGTTCTGAGCTACAGTCGGTTGGTGCCTAAGCAGAAACTAAAAATAGATTGCATCTTTAAACGCGAGGCCTGCTAATCCTGCCTGAGCCTTGGAGGCGAATTGCACATAGTCGGCTGTTAACTGGGAACCAGTCAAGGAGTGCAGCCTCGGCTTTGTTGCTTCACGCCACATCAACGCCGATCAAGCCAGCGGAAGCAGTTTACGCGTTGCCAGATGAACGTAAATGGCATGTGGCTTTCTAATCGGTCAGCCATTTTAACTGGGGTACAATACTTGAGTCCTATTATCGCATTTCAGAAAGGCAGCAGATAGCTGCATTTAACAATTCATGGAACTACCCCATGCGTTGAATCTCGGTTTTAGCCATTTCTTTTCCTACTTCTCGACACCTTTCAATACGCTATTCCATATGTGATCAGCTGGCTTTGATGCACAATCCGTACAGCTTGGTTCAAGAAGCTCCATCAGTACACAGTAGTGTACACAAATTCACCCTCAAGCCGCTACAGTACACTTCTGATACTAAAATTCTGGCGAAATAGTGCGATTCCTGTTTAGTAAAAGTCAGTGTTGAACAATAAAATGCCACCTATTTATCTCATCGAGGTAGTTGGGTCATTTGCTTTCCATCGAGTTTCTATCTACGCGTTTGCTCTCACAACTTTTAACCTGTCACTTTGTTCTGTTGAACGGACCGGTGGAAGTCTGTCCAGCTCTTCATAATATTGTCAACAGTTTATGCGAACGTGTTGTTTGCAATAAGCGTTAGTGACTCCATCAAATAACCCGTCTCCTTTTTTCTCTTCTGTTTGATCAGAGAAAATGTACGGTGCTCAGTTTAGACAGCGCAGTCGATTATCGTCGTGAGATTTCTCCGGGCGACATCGGAGTTGGTCCTGTCACATATTACGTGTAAGTTCTTTTAACCTGTTTGTGAATCAGCATATCCGTAGTGAGTAGTATCCAGGGGATTAATCTTATTACCATATTAATTGATTACACTGTCCTCATGTCACCTGGTTGTTTTTAAAAAGCGCTGGTTAAATCCGGCGTTAGGTCAAGCTCGCGATAGCTTCACCATGCTCTATTTGCTTAGCTTTTATAGTTCCCGACGCGGAGCAAGCCACCTTATGTTCATACTTTTGTGCAGCCAATGTCAGCAATAAGGATGTTTACTGTTTGCATAGAGACAACTTTTATCGTCGTACCGTGCACACCTAGTGCAGTGGTCTTACTTCCTCTTCTTCGTTTTTCTATGCAAATCTTGTTTTTAACCAGTATAGATGGGCTTTAAATGGTTGAAACACCGTGTTTCGGGCACTTAGCTGTATGAGTTGCTTTGTTGTCGGATGCCTCACTCATATTATGCACTGTCCCACAAATATTAGGGGTTCCTTGAAAATAAGCAGAAATCGATGATAAACTGCTTTCAGAGCCGGAAGAACTTCCTAGTATGGTCTTATATACTTTAGCAGTATGAATACATAAGGCACTAAGTCCACTTCCTTTGTGGAACAGTTTTGGAGATATGTCTCAGATTCGCTTTTGTATTCTTGCCCTTCACCTACCATGATTGTGTCAGCAGCTGAAGGATGTGTTGCCGACTTATCTCCTCGTAGCTATGAGCAAACTCCAGACGCAGATCAACGACTGGAAGAGTGGTTCAGAATTCTTTCTAAAGAAGACAGACACGGTAAGAATTATCACTTTTGGTATGATCTACTTTGTTCTGCTCTCTTTATCATCTATTACCTAAGTTTGCTTCACATTGGTTTAGCACGCTTTCACTGCACCAACATCAGTTTACTCCTGCGCATCACGGTTGCTTTCCACATTTTGAATTTTGCCTGTGCTCCGATACTCACACACCATGCTATTGGGTGCAGCTGTAACAACACGAGGTGCAAGCGAAATTTCTCATTATTTTAATCACACCTTTTACTAAGTACGTCCACTTATCTTGTTGGGGGTTGCAGGGCGCGGGGTTCTCTCTGTGTTTAGTGGTTGTGGTGTGCATTGCTTGTGCGTCCAATCATCGTGCGCATACAACTGCGGCTCTAAAGTATTCTTTGCCTTTGTGGGAGTCATTACACCCAGCTGTTGGCTGTTTGCCGTTTCACATCCCGGTGCTTCCATACTACTGATAACTGGCACAGTAGCGTCTGCCTTTGGTCCACCACGCAACAGATTTCCTGGGTATTCTCACCATGTACTCTCACGATGCAGTAAGGAGAAAACCAAATTTCATCTCTCGAGCTCAAAAGAGAACTACCCTACACACAGGGTTCGTGACGGACAGTGCTTTCATGTTTTCGAACTGCCACCAATTTAACTATTCATGGTTTATTTTAAGTAAAGTCAGTCATGCCAAGTTGGAGCAGGCTTTATGCACCCGAGTATGTTCACTTTCAGCATGTTTCAGTACCACTTCGAATGGTGAAGTATTTGCAATTACTTTTAAAAACCGTGAAACCTCTCAAAAAGTTGAAAAGTGCAGTCATATGGGTAATATCCCTCATTCCTTCTTCACCTCAAGCTTATCTGGTCGCACCCACTGTTAGCTATATCTATCCATACCGCTTATTGTTCATGATACTGACGAAACAATACAAAATGCATGGTACATCACAATGTAGTGGATAAAGAGAATCGTTTGAAACTTTGAAGTTACCAGGCGTCTAGGTGCTTGCTAACTATACACTTCACAAGCGACTCTAGACAATCCACTGCATCTGGAAATATGCTTTATGGACCGCACAATAAAGGTTTGTTTGAGTAACCCAGAGAAGTTTACAGCAGAACGGTAGAGCCAATGCGGCAGAATGCATGCAGTCACAAATCAAATCACGGGGTACTGAAATTACTTTGTCGAAGATCGTAAAATGACAACCGTTTAACCTTGCAATGCATTTTGGCAACGTGAATAGACCAAGATAAGTTTCGGAACTGAATGACCCCTAGATATTTAATACTTGCCGTTCAGGGTATGATCTGGTCACCCAATATGATTGGAGAAATGGCGTCCAAAACAACTCGTAAGTTGTCAGCTCGGAGAAACGCGAATGTTACGTCATGGTATTTAGAAGTGTTCAAAATCAGAGTTCTGGTCGATGAGCAAAGCATAAACTAACCTAAATCGTTTTAAAAAGTAGAAGATGTCTCAACGGCTGAAGTAACGCATCTCAAAAGGACATCGTCAGCAAACTTGCATGCAATCAAGATAGATGGACTGGGGATCTTTCCAATGTATAACAAAATTAGTGCGGATGAGAGGATGGCTCCCTGTAAAACACCACCACTAGAGAGGAACGCAGAATGCTCCAGTTACTCTACAAGCCGTGAGTAACGCCATCAGTCGAAAATCAGCGGTGCGCAGTTTTTAAGGTCTGTTGTGTATCGACTCAAAAGTCATGTTCGTCAAAGTTGTTTCCATGGCTGTGGTTGGTCAACCTTACATTGATTGATCCTGACCGTAGAAACTAGACAGGATGATTTTTCGCCTAGTATTTGTGTGCGCAAACGAATGAAGTTACTGTGAGCTCCTACATTGCTGTTCTTCCTCTGCTCTTTGCCCGTATGATGAATACCTATCAGTTGATAGGGGGCAGGGAGATTTTTACGTTTGTCCCAGTTTCCTTGCATGTATGGACTAGGATGAATGGGCCGAAAACAAACGCTATCAATTTTACGTTCGCAGACTGTAATATTGCACACGGAAGATTCCTAACCGGTGTATCACTACCTTGAAGTTAAAAATGTTCGTGGTTTCTGTGAAATTCGACGATTTTGAATCCTTTAAGGGGTTTGGTAATAGCCTTGCGCCTGGTCCTTGTCAGCTTTATTGTGAAAGTATTCGTGTTGAAGCGGTATGTGGAACTGTTGTTACATCTTTTGGCCCACGGAGCTAGAAATCTGGGGGCACTCAAGCCATACTGATAATGGGGCAGAGACCGACCGTTCCCCGCATCGCAATTCGCCGCACTATGGAGCACGAGTTATTAGATCACTCTACACTCACTGATTTAAATCGTACTTCTCATTTTCTTGTGATCACTTACTGAGCCTAATTTGGACACAGCATCCAAGCCACCGATCACCTCAATTAATGTCAGCATATCCTGACCTTTGGTTCTACTTCTAACGACATATTCCACGAAAGCAGTTTCTGATAACTATATTGCGACTCTAGCAGTATTGATCAGATGTCAATTGCTTTAGATCATTTTAACCATGTAATTCACCTGTAGTTATCGCCAACATTCTCTCTCCAGTATGTTCAGTAGCTAGGCAAGCTCCATCGTCTTTTTGATCAAGTGTTTGACTTGGATCTTCAAATGACTCTCAGATTCTCACGCCGCTTTCAGGGTTAGACGTCTAAGTCAAATGCTAGAGGTGGAAATTGTCAGAGTAGGCTTTTGGGCTTAACCGCGCATCCGAAAGAATTGTCTGCTCACGGATACCCGTCATCGACATTCTTTCAAACTATCCCCCTTACTACATTTGTGTTGTCCCTATTTTTCCCGAACTTTTACGTCTGTAACTATAGACGGCTTGCTTCGCTGATCATAAAACCATCAACTTAACCGGCTTTTATCGCCAACCCTTCATAATGACCATAAATTTGAACTTCACTGCGTCTGGTAAGTATGTTACCCTTCCTCGAACTACTGTCACTTGCACAGACTGTTGAGAATGTGTGATCTAACACTACATTCCTCAGTTACATTCAGTCTATTCTGCTCGTTGTCTTCGGCGATACTCACCATTTCCGCAGGTGGAGTGGAATCATGCGTGATCCGATCGATTACAGTTAATGAGGAGGAGATCTGGAAAAGGACAGCGTACGAGTAACCTCCGTGTCACATGTGCTCAGTAGAGGATTTCATCTGCTGTATTCCACGCGCTACTACACCAAAGAGAACAAGCGGGACAAAACGCAGCGGTTGGATCAGATAAAAACGATAGCGTCCAATACTTGTATGCAAGATTGTTCGCGTGGTGATTAATTTCATTTTCCATCGTTGAGAATCTGTGCGACCCACAGGAACGTTTTCGGCGACTCGCCATCATGCAAATGTGGCGCATTCCTATGGCTTACATGAGACAGGGTGGATTAAATAACCGGACAATTGAGGTCCAAAATGCTCCTTGGGACTGAGTCCATTCACATGTAAGCTGCATACTTACCAGCTGGTCTCTTTAGGGCCAAAACACTCATGAACAATTTACTAGGTGTTGAGACGAATGTTATGTTAGCTTTTTATGATGTCGTTAGCTTGATAATGAATCACCGAAAACGGACTTGTTTGCTACACCGGCTTTTCACGAATGAGTGTTTTCGGATTTTTGTCGAAGGTAGATTTGACCACCACCTTGACTGTAAGAGAGGGAACAGATCCATCACCCAGTGGTTTTACCAACAAAATACTTGTGGGAGTACTTAGGCTGAGAGGTACGCAGCCATTCTCTGTGATGTTCAGTCCATTTGCTTGTCCCTTATAAACTCGGCCTTACTGCACCCATGCTCCAAACAGCATTTGCGGTGCTACGTGAACATAGCGCAACAAATATATCCATTGCTTGCGTGCACCATCGACTGACGCACTGATGCTATCTGATTGGTCACGTTCCCACGATCGGGTTGTTTTTGCTCCTTCCTAGTTTTCGATTACAACCAAAAAAGCCGTTTTTTAATTCCAGATTTCTCACATTTTATTCCCTCCATAAATGTACCCATCGCAAAAATTCTGGGTCAATACTTTGATTCGCATTTTGCCACTATTGTGCGTGAGTTGCGTGGGAATTTGCATTATTGGACAGGGTAGCACACATTTCGGAATGACGAGTAAATGCCCCACCACCTATCGCTCTCATCGCACATTAACACAATGGGGCTTTCCAACGTGACGCGAACAAAGGGTGATGCCATTGGCTGCTTTAAGGCCAAGATCGTAGGCATAGTTAGTTTTGCATTATGAAACTGAACACAGCTTTTCAAGTTTGGAAAGCCATGAAGACCATCGGTTATATCTGCCATCATTTTTACCTCACGGAATCTCGCCTATCGCTTTACAAAACATATGTATTGCCGTGTATGGAATACTGTTCAATGGTACAGTCTAATCTGCGGAAATCTGACCAGCACGCTCTTGAGAGGGTCCAGAGACGCTTCACGAAAAGCTATGTAGGTATTCCTCAAAGTTGACATACAGAGAGCGATGTGATAAACTTGGATTTGACCCAGTTTGGCTTCGGATAATGAAGCTGAACCTATGTTTTCTTTACAGAATCATAAATTGTCAAATTCGCAGTTTTGAAAATGATGTTCACCTATCTCTAAACAGCAGATATCCGATACGTAACAAAGAGGTAAAGGTCATGATTCCAAAATTTACTACGAGAATCAGAAAACGTTTCTTTCTAACTCACTACAAAGATTTGGAAGAAACTTCCAAGTGATATCAGAACATGCTATACACTTTGCAATTTTAAGCTTGCGATTAGTAAGCATTAAACCGTTCAAAACGTGATTAAGATGTTCGGGACATCACAGTCCCTAGCTAACGCATTCGAAAACGATATCCATGGTGCCTGAATAAATTTCCGAGACATGCACATAACATTTCGGACAACAGCCTCTTTCATTACATTTTTTCTCGGCCCAAACATTTGTCATGTAATTGTGAAGAATCC